ACTTTAGTAAACCCCAATCTATAAAACCTTATCTGAGTGTTCTGGATTATATGGTTTAGGAAAGAATTTTTTTTTTCGGATGAACGAAGTGAGAAATAAATTCCTTTTTTTATGCACAATGTACAATGCTAATATATTTATATATTTTTTTATTAAAAGTAGATTATTTTTCCAACATAGTCACTTTAAAGGAACAAATGATAATAAATGCAACATATATGTTTAACTTATTTTATTTATGGTTGGCATAAAATTTCCGTCATGACTGGTCATTAAGTAACATAAAGTTAATAGAGTTTGAACCTTTATATAAAATAGAATATTATAAAATAGGTTTTGCTTCGTCATCGATTGCAAAAACCTGTAATTTTATGTTAGATTTTCGCCATATCGACGGCTGAATAAGAGCATTAAATATTCCAGACAATCTGTTATAGAATAATATTAACAATCAATTATAATATTATATGACTAATACTCATATCCTAACAGTCGGAAGTGACATTTTATATATTGCTTATATATGCTTCGGTAGCTTAATATGTTTATTCAGATATAATCAATTAAAATTATGTTTCGAAAAAGAGACAATGTGCTGACAATGCCAGATATGATAAACACTTGATATCCGAAGCTTATAAAATATGTTTTATAAATATTATCAATAAAAATTAGTTCAATTTTGAAAAGACTGATACAGCCATTTGTATATATAAATACATTTATCAAGCATATCACGATCAAAACTGCCATAGAATGTCTAGGACATTCCAAACCAGGACAATTACTCAACAGGTTTGATCGTATATTCGTCTTAGGAATACTGGCCGCCTACGTAAAACCCCCTTTTTAAGAGGAACCGTAGCATCCGTTGGCATGCACGGAGGAAACCTCCTCAGACTATTCCTCGGAATATAGAACAACAGACCTGCTCAGATATGCCAGTAAACATATAAAATACAAAATACATACAGCTCAATAAAGACAAACGTTCTTTATAAGAAAAATTATAATTTTAAATAAATAGTAGTGTGATATATAATGTAAGTAAACTTGCTTGAAACCATGTATAACAATGTAATGATATGATAATAACCATTATATCAATATTTTTTTAAAGACAATATGTGTTTTATTTACACATGGGTTAAGTTAATTAACAGTGTTTTGTTTTGTACCGACATCGGTTACAGGTTATCTAATGACTATTCTACAAATATCCGAAAGTCAGTTGCATCCCACAGGTGTTCGAAATGTTTATGGTTATGTACAGGCCAGTTAAATGTAAATTTTGAACCGACGTCGGATTCAAATGATAAGGGTCTGGCAGTCGACGTTGGTAAATTTCCGGATGTCGCAAAACAAATATTGACTGTTGAAATGATAATTCCAGCCATGACGAAGAAGGGCTAAGTATCGCGGCGGTCATAATTACCTGAAAACAGAAAAAAGAGACAACAGCAAAGCAAATGGGAAGGGCGGGTGGGTATTTTTCCGTGTTAGTTCACGGCAGCTTCTGGAGCTCGGAGACTGGATCGACACGGGTTGTTACGGACCGACACGGTTTGATACGGAGCGACACGAATCAGGACGGACGCACTACGGATACACTACGGTCTGCTACGGTATAAGCACGATTTAGTACGAATAAGTACGGTCTGATACGGAGAAGAACGAATTGATACGGAGAAGAACGAATTGCCACGGATCTATACAGACCTATTTTATCCGTCCACAACCTCTTGCATGCTCATTTTCAAAATGCATCACAAGAAAAGAACACTTAGAAAACGAATTGCAGAGTTCAATGATTTGGGCGGAAAGGATTTGGCCACATCCCGTCAGACCCCCGATACATATCAGGTCCAATTATAGTGAATTTCTAGAAGGACGCCGCATCCTCAACAAGTTCGGCCATGAGAGCCTCATACTAAACATGAAGGGGTCTTCGTAAAAGCCCATCTCTAGTCCACCATCTCCTCTGTCTTATCTTACCTGATTAGATATGGACTAGTAATCATTAATGGAAAAAGTTGATCAATACTGCTTCTCTTTTTATTTTAAAATTTGCTGTTCATTTTACAATTACATTAACTATCGTGAATATTTATGTTTTAAGAATATGTTAAAAAAACTTGTTGATTAATCTTATTATCACCCAAGGGCCAGCGTCCGAGGCCTATGAGTTCGTTTTATGTACATATTTACTCCAATTTCACTAAAATATGTAACATTAAAATGTTATTCTATTACTTATGCATCGTTGTACGATATTAACATCTTTTTTACCTCTATGCATGTCATCAAACAGCTCGACCACTGCCTCCGCATTCTGAGCCATATCAATATACAGTTGCAGCCAGTTAATTGCAATTATCATTTATTGAATGTTTATACAAATATGTCTGTTTTTAACAAGAAGGTAGTATTTATACCCTTCAAAAAGTACATGATACTTAATTTATCCGTATTAAACAGTGGTGGACCGTACCATTCCGTAACGTTTCGTGATGCAACGCAATAAACCGTATAAGATCGTGCTAATCCCTGCCTCTCCGTAGTACAACGTACTACGATCGTAGCTTTCCGTGACAATGCCGTATTAATCCGTATTAAAACCGTAGCTTATACGTAGGATAACCGTACAAATACGTAGTTCTCCGTACCAAACCGTGGGTTTCCTTGACAAATTGGGGCCTACGAATCAGTACGGACTAGTACGGTTTTCGTACGGACCACTTCGTATCAGTACGGTTTAATACGGGCTAATAGGGATACGCTACGGTTGGTTTTTCCGTAGCAAATTTTTGTGCATGTTCAAAAATTGTCAAGGATCGCTACGGATATACAAGGACTACTACGATTGATTACGGTTACAATACGGAGAGCTACTGACCAGTACGGGTAGCTACGGACGATGCCGGAATTGATCCGTGGCTCTTCCGTGGGCGTTTTCCGTGAATATGTGACCGGGGTATAAGTGATACACGTAAATTTTCTTGTGCTACTTAGATGTTTTAGGGATCTTTTTTTTGATTACTACAACTTTTCAAAAATAAGATTCAATGCATTTAAAATGTGTGTAGCTTTAAATTGGTAAAATTTGTATAATATAATCAAACAAAACTATGATATAACATAGTAAACATATGCTTATGATCATACATTTGCATTCCAATAAAAAAAAAAACACCGCCTGTGAATTTTGATAAACGTGCATAAGATTAAAAAACCCAGTACACTGCTCTATAATTTCCGTTTAATTGTGGAGATTATAGCAACATGTAACGCACGCTATGTAAGTAAATATACTTACATTATTCTTCCAATCAAGTTTATAAATCAATAAAAGGTTTAAACTTTTTTATTTTGGGATATGTCGTCACGTCATAAAATGGGTCTGGCATTCGTTAAATATTCTAAATATCTTGAAGTCGTGCCATAAAAGTTTTTTATCAAATGTGTGCGATTGAACCTTCAAATTCTTAAACAAGAACACCTCATTGTTCAAACATTCATAACGTAATCAAAACTGTTTGACATTGACTTCAATAATAGCTTTATTTCTCACTACTTTTAGAACACATGTTTTCATTACCACAAATATCTCAATTGAAAATACTGTAAACATTACCATGTACATATACACTATACTAGAATGTTACGTTTCCGCACTGACTAACGAACTCTGATTGTAACATTGTTCTACATATAATCTGGCCCATCATCGGAGAAAGTGACGCCAACTTATGTCAAATGTATTTACCAGTGTTTTCCTACATTTCATAATATAGAGTAAATGCTGTAAAATCTCTATGAAAATGATAAACAAAAAAGCGACCACTGGTAAATGTAGATATTTTCTAGTGTATGTTTTTGACATATGTTTTTATAGTAGACATTTATCAGTCGAAAGGTGTTACCCTGATTAAATAAAAAAATATATATATATAGGTCAAGGTTGGTTCATCAGGAAAAAAACGCTTTTAACGAAAATTTGTATATTCTATATACATAAACAATAAATCACCGCTTTGACTTACAACCATTCTACGTCGGCATCTGGCGGCCATGTTTTTTTAGACTTGCACTAAGTGCCTTTAGTTACCGTCCACGGACCCATTAAGATTCTCAAAATCAGACCAGTAGGCTAGCTAGGTAACGGCGGACTCCGGATAAAGATCTTTTTTACGAAAATCCGTCTAGTTTTATGAAAATTCATATAGTTTATCAATGATTGACCAATAAATAGATAGAAAGTGGTGCTTTGTACCGACAACTTTTTGAAAGCGTTTATATAAAGAAAAGAAAATCACCGCGCAGGTTAAGATGCCTATAGTACGCATGTTGAGGCCGCCACGTATCGTCCTAAATGGAATCAACTACCTCCAGACAATGTTGTTTTTTTTTACAAAAAATCTAAAAGTTTATACAAAGTAATGAGTAAATCGTCGTGCAGGCTAAAAGGCATAGGACAGTCTAAGCTGCTGCACTGTCTAATACGCAAAGAAATAATCGGGCTAATAAGTAAGCACGGCGGGCCCCGGAAAATTGGACATTTTTGTTACGAAAGCTGCTACTGTTTATACTCGTATACTGTAAAAGTTGGGCATTTCATCATTGTTTTTCAATACGAAAAATAAATATATTGCTGAAAATAGATTTCACACAAACCTGAAATTGCAGCCTGATCGTTCCAAAGCTTTCGGACTATGCCGCTCGACATAGATTGTGATAGAAAAAAAATTCTTTTTATTATTAAATTTTTCTTCAGGCCGTCTTTCAGATCACACTTACACAATAGACATTATGGAGTTTAGATATTTGTACAACTGAGATTCATTTCACCCACACTGTCAATTGTAGTGTTATGATTTATCAAGGGGTTGTAATAGTTAAAAAGATGAAAAAAAATTTAATGTATAAACCTACAAGGTGTATGTTTGAATGCGATAATATAAAACACAAGTACATTTTATTTCCATTATGACCACTCTTTATTGTGCTCTAAAATGAATATTGAGCAAACTTGATAACTAAATGGTTGTACCCTGCTGAAAGTGAAAAATTGATCTATGAAAAACTTATTATCATATGATAGGATAAACCATTCAGTAGCATCCAGTTTAACAAACATATGGGACAAACATGATATAATATATCAACAACAGAAATATTATGAAAACAAAAATGGCAAGACTGTTACCGTACACACAGGTTAATATTCTTCAGTTCAAATTGAACTCGTTTTAAATGTATGGTACATTGCTAAATGCTTGACAAAATCAAGTTGATTTTGTTAAACTAGGGTCAAGTATAATTTGTTAAAATGATCAAAGTTACTAGGACTATTCAGTACTAGAAAAATAGTCGGGTAATTTAACATATACGCATGCATATTGAAATGTTACACATCGTTTAGCATGTCTACCCTGCCGTAACAGGTGAGAGTAATTGACTTCCATCATATTTGAAAGAGTCGTTTGAGTCATCATAAAATGATATAATACTTTCATAAAGCAAATCAATTGTTAAAAGCTATATTTTTAAATACTTGAATGTTTACATTTATATGTAAGTATAATAAACAAAAACAAATGCAATGTGTGTTTCATTTTAAATGCTTGGATGCATTGTTAATCTGTAAAAATAAGTTAATCTTACATGAATCATCATCATCATAATCATCATCATACTATGAATTATAATTGTTATTATACATAACTTAGAACACAATTTAATTTCTAGCCGAACAAATTTAAGAAATAATAATAATAATAACAACAACAACAACAACAACAACAAAAAAAACAACAACATTACATTGCTAAAACAAGCAACCTTATTTAGCACATTTCACAATTAATGAAAAATTAGGAATATTGCATTGCTGTCGTTGAATTCGTGAAGTTGTAACTCAAGGGAAACAACCCCTCATTAAGCACTCATGCAATAATTCCTGTATTTATCGTACAAACAATATACACGCGCTAACTCATTAAAGTCAAATGATCTTTTTCGCTCCATTACTCTACAAAAGCGAAATATAGCAGAGCGTCAGTTAAGGTATTGTTCTAATTGGTTTGAAGTGTTATTACAACGGCAGTTTCGATAGTTTTTTCTTGCATATCAGACTGGCGTTTCCGTTAGTTTTACCCATGCCGGAAATTTCATCTGGCATGGGGGGTGCCAGATGAGTCGCGTGCTGTACAATTGCACGATAAAGATGACGTCATTATACCATTATGAATGATTTTGTAATTCATACGCTGTTGAATGAAAGTAGTTACGGTAGTAATGATATCAATTTTCATAGAAAATAAAGATAAAGAATTAAAAATATAATGGAATATGGTAGAATATGCAAGAAAAAATATCTGACATATGTTTGCGGTTCGGATCGGAATATCCGTCCCTCGGTCACCCGCCCATGGGCGGTAACTCGGCAAGCCTCGTTACCGCCCAATGGGCGGATCACCTCGGGACGGATATTCCGATCCGAACCGCAAAATATGACAGATATTATTAATCTTTTATAACAATTGTCATAAAAAAGGATCCCAAACGTGTTTTACAATATTTAATTATTAAAAGGTTCATAAGTTTGTAAAAGTTATCTGACAATATTAAATAATCTGACGAAGTGTTTCGAAAAAATAGAAAAGGTGTGCATTGTTTTGAAACTGATGTCATACACATCTATTGAATGAATATATCTCAACTGTCTGGCATGTAACATAAACAAAGGACTTACATTGAAACATACTTTTAAAGTTTCGGTTTAATACATTTATCCATTATATAAAACTGATTTATTAATTCAAACATGGAAATGTACTTCTTTGTTGAAAATTAGATTTTCTATGTAAGTAAATAAATGACTGTTCTATTTACATTCAGTTAGTAATTTTAGTAATGAAGGGTTTCCATTGAAGTTTTTTGACATGACGGGACTGATAAGTTGTTAGATAATAAATATTGAATGCTACCGTATATGGTGAATTAGGCAGAGTTCCCCTTCTTGTTTTACGTAAGATTAGTATTGTAAAGTTTGGGTTTATAACTGCTAAGAATCCAGATTCATTTTTGTATAAACTAATGATGATGACAGATTATAACAATCAGTTTGTTAAAAAATGGACCAATAATGTAAAATGTCTTTTACAAGACTTTTGCTTTTCTTATTTATTTGATAACCCTCATTCTATTTTTATTTTTCTTAAGTCTGCCTACCAACGTATATATGATCAATATTATCAACAATGGTTTTCTGAAATATATTATTCTAATAAACTTGAAACGTATAGTTTAATTAAAAACACGTTTGGAAAAGAGAAGTATCTTGATTGTATAATAAATAGTAAATTTAGAATAGCCCTTTCACGTTTTAGATAAATATCATAATATAATATCATAAATTAATGATTGAAGATCAAGAAAGAAATCAACTATTTTTTAAAATGCAATATGAATGTAGTGGAAATGGAATATCACTTTTTACTTGCTTGTCCGTATTATATTGATCTACGAAGAGAATATTTACCTAAAAGCTACTGCTCTTGGCAAAATATACAAAAATCATTTTATAGGGAAAAATGAAAGTAAAATAAAAAGTGTTGAAACGCCTTTAACTTAAATCCGACTTAGCATCACATAAAATCGATTTTCAATTATATTCTCATCTTATCTAACGATTATCCGTCGCACAGTTTTCCATTTTAAGTGATTGTCTTAATATTTGTAAGATTTTCAAATTTCATGCTTTTAGGCTTTTTACCTCAGTGGAGTTCCTTTAATTATTACAAAAATAGGTCTAACAATGCAAACACGTTAAAGCACACACGATTAAAACGACTCTATTGTTTCAAACTAAATTGAAACTACTATTTGATGTGGAATTGCACAATCGGAACGAATTGAAAGAGTGTAACATCTGTGAACAGATTTGCAATCGACAACTTTTGTAACTGTAGCTACTAGATAGATACTACTATCATAAAAAACTTGTACCAAACGTTCACAAATACAATGTTACTGAACCAGCTTCGCCGCGTCCTTTTGTGTCTCACCGTCCTGTCTTTTTGCAGTTGTTTCATCCTCTATATACATACCACTGTCACTTACATTCTGTCCATCTGGTGGTATCTAAATAATAGATATTAATATATTATGTTAAACCAAGCACATATTTGTAAAGATCATAATGCTAGATAAACTTATAAAAAAATTGTTGACCAAATTTACAAGGCATATATGTAAAAGGGTTTGTTCTCCTTTAAACACACATAGTGTCATCGTGTTCATGTGTAAAATGCGTTACAATTCCTAAATTTTAAAGATGCTACCGTCCTGATAATGACTAAATCAACATATATGATTTATCTACAATATTTTCGCCGGTTAACTTTTTTTTCTAAAATTAAACAACTGATATTGCCACAGACAGATTTCACTATTTCATGATGAGATTCTAAATATTAAGTTATTATTTTGAATAATTGGACAATACAGATATTGAAAGAAACTTAAGAACTAGCCAGAAGTAGATTAAGACAAGGTGAAGATTCACTAATATGCGGTTGCTTTTTGTAGGTTCCTAATATTATCGTTCAAACGTGTGCTAATCATTTGTCCTTTTAAAAATACAGAGTACGCTTAAAGATCCTGTAACACATTTTTTTCATGGTTTTATTACATAAATATGATGCTGAAATTAAGATTTGTCAATATTGTAAGTTCCAATAAGCATTATTTATAAAGATATTACCGAATTAAACATTTCATGTAAATAAAGGGAGGTAATTAGAAATTTTCCAATAAGAAATGAATGCATATAATTTATTGTTTAAATATAATGTGCACAAATATTTGCAGTACACATTTTACATATTCCTCGATGTTTGAAAATTGATTTATTTGCATAATTATATACATATATAATTTTTTGCAAGTGTGGTATACACACAGTAACAATATCAATCACAAAACATACAGGATCTTTAAATTAATTCTCATGATCAGTAAACTAGCGTAGCATGACGTAGTTATCGTAAGTTATCATAAGGGGTAAAGCAACATTGAAGAATTGAATAGTTTCATTAACATACTAAAATACATCTATGAAAATGTTTCAAACTTCAAAAAACCGCAAATTCATTTATTCTAAGTTACCTTTAGATTCAACATCATTTGTTCTTCATATGAAGGTTCCTGAGCAACCCTGTCGTTTGCTTTAGGTGTATCCATATTATCAATTTTTTGATTCCGAAGAAGACTGTCATGACTTGAACGTGCACTTGATTCAAAATTTAACTTCACATCTTCTGATTTATGTATATTGAATTGATTGTTGACAAACTCCTTCTTTAGGAGGGTCACAACTGTGAATATATATTTATAAGGAACATCAACATGAAAATAAAATATTTGAGATGAGTTTTAGACAGCGTGTATGTGTGTGAATACAAAGCTCTATGAGTACATTTGGTCAATTCATAACATGAGGATTAAAACAAGAGCAGAAACATTTTATTAACAGTACAAGATGAATTCAAAGTTATGCTACAAGTATCATATAAGCCAGTATGTGTGCGTGCATGCGTGCGCGTGTGTATGTGTGCTTGTGCGTGTGTGAGAATGGCGGGAAATTAAATATATCAACGACATCAATTATTACGACCCATAAAGTTTATCTGAGACATATTGGAAAATAATGTATATCTACGAGGTATCAAACAATACGGCCAAAAGGCGAATAATTCATATCTACGACACAGAAGTCACAATACGTCTTAAGTTGAAAGATATATGGAATTTAATTATTACTATTGCTTCTGGTCTTGAATGTATTGAAAAAGTATTAAGAAATTAAGACTAGAATACAAAAAATCGATCAGTTTATTTGTTGACATTCTAACATTGGACGCTGTGTTTAATATGCAGAGTAAGACCAACAAGGAAAAGGATCACAGAAATGGCACCAAGTATGATACCAAACAGGGACGGGTAAAACAAACTGGTATGGGTACAAATGGTAAATGGCCTAAAACTAAAGATGAGAAATTCTTTATTTTTATAAGACTAGATGAAGGCCTGCAATGAACTGTAAAATTGAAACAAAACAGGTTTCGGTCAAAGTTCTATTACCAGTAATGCCACCCACATTGTGCATAGAAAGGATATATCGGTAAGATTCTATAGTACTGGTACGGAGTCTATATAAAGCATTAAATATGTTCTCTTTACGAGGAATGAAAATACAGACCAATATCATTTAGGGGGTGACTCTAATAAAAACGTTTATAATCGAAAGCATAAAAAAGATCGTGCGTGTTCAAATACATTTACATATTAAAATACATATAGGAAGACATACCTCTTCTTTTATTTGAGTTTCTCTTGAGTTTAGTCACATATATAATGCATACGAATAACAAGCCTGGTAATAGAAAAAAATCACATTCTTTTAAGGCCAATGAAAACAATACATGCTTCACATATAAATGAAAGCAGGTTCAAAAGAAGAACAATCAATCCTCTCACAATTAAGACATGCGTCAACAATTACTCATAATAAATGAACTCTTATTATCATCGAAATAAGAATATTTAGTGTCTTCAGCATATTGATACTCGTATAAGCTAAAAACCAGCCGATTCATTGATTTGATGTTTAAGTCAACAATCTTAAACAAATCACTTACTTAGAATGCTTGGGAAATCATGTAAACTTCAGAAACTACTAATGTTTCAAATCGAAGTATTCAGTAAGTAAATAATACAATGTGTATAACGATAATAGTTGTTTTCAAGATTCCATTGAATAGGACCATTTATAGCGGCCTTCATTTGTTATTATAAATTGTTTAGCTTTTTGAAATAAAATGAATGGGTTTGCTTGATTTTTTTTAGCAAAATAAAAAGCAAAGTATTTTGTATATACCTAATAGGACAAAGATGGCAATATAAGCACCAGTTCCTAAATTATTGCTGTCGTTATCTGCAAAATTAGAAAACAAGAAATATATAAGATAATAAACTTACATGAAACTTATGAATTTTGTTCTTTCCATGATAATAGAAATGTACATTCCTTTTCAGTGAACTATTTTGAATCTGATTATTTCATAATAAATTATAAAAATAGTTTGACTTGCATCAAATAAATTACTATAGATGCCTGGCCTACCCTGATACCTTGCACCTTCCAAGAAAGGTTTATTTTTTTATTTAATATACTCTGCAAAATTTTAACTGAGAGGCCTTTGTTATTCCCAGGTGGCATTTCGCTGACTTATATATAAATATGTAGAAAAATAGTTTAGACACATGTGCGTTAATAACACGAGAATCTACTACGATCGCCTCATTATATCATAAAAAGTCTAAATCTATCGTGTTACTTACTTCTTTCTTATTTTATATGGATACGGACCAACATTAAAATCATTAGGATACTCATTGCATTAGATATTCTTGTTAATGTTTTTAAGCTATTAAATTCCCTTGAAACAAGAAAGAATGTATTAGTGTTTTGCACCAGATATTGTTACAACAATTAAATAAAATCCCCACACCTTACTTTTTTAGTTTGTCAAAATTCTTCCATTTTACATAAATACAAAAACTTTAAGTCGCAAGTTACAAATAACAGAAGCTTAATTACCATAGAAATTATATGATTATGAAATCAAAGTTATTTCATTCGAGTTAAAATGTTAAACATAATTTTAATGTTAAAGACAGGTTTAATTTCCAGGAATCAAAGTCGTGAGAAAGTAAAACTAAATGTACTATCTACATCACTGTCACAATGCTTTTATGTATTTTCGACCATTACACCTTTGTACATAGTTAATAATGATAACTATCATAAATAGAATGAACAGAAAACGTGGAACAATATGAACTATTACAAATGATTAAAATGTCTAGAATATTTTATGTCAGCCATATTTCTCGGAAGTAAAGGCATAATTCTATTAGACCATCATCTCTTTTAGTACTTTGTAGCTTAGAAGAAAACCATGACCATTTTGTACATTTATTTTTACTAAAAAGAAAAAAATGTTTGACGATACCATTCTTAGTTCTGGAGCTAAAATGTAAAATATTGTTTATCACTATGACAGTTCTATGTTCGTTAATTTCAAAATCAAAGAATTAAAATATTCAACAACTGATAATAAATTTAACCGCCGACAACATAAACATTGAACAAAAAACTAAACAATAACCTTTGTAGCAAATTTGCTTGAAATAATTTAAATTTTAACAGAAATAATAGATTGAAATATCCCAATAATATTGTTTTACCTGCTTTGTCTTTTTCTTTGTCTTTTTCAGGTTGAATTGATTCCCTCTCGTACGAAGGTGTTTGATGCTCACTAAAAGATTCATTTTCAGGGGGAGTGATTCTGTCTGTCACTGAAGATGTCTCTACACTATGTGCATTCTCGCTGAAATCAAAGCAAACGTTTTAGTAAGTGTACATTATGTTTATAGGATATACTCTGTAGATGAAAAAAGATTAAGAGGACTCATGAACTGGTCTTGAATATTCATATTTAGTTTCAACAAGCATTTCAAATATTGATAAAACAAAAAAGATGTATCATTTGGATATTACTGTCTGTCACATTTCTTAGAAAATGTGATAGAGTTCTTAGTAATTTATGAATAACGTCCTTACCTTGATTATAAACATTGTAGATATTTTATAGCTGATCATGTTTCTCACACTAACAAACACTATTCATAGACACTTAATTTTCGGTTTTGTTGTCACGTTAAATACTTAATACATCGCCATAATTATTAATCGTATTTTTGAGCTTTCAGGACCTTTCACTAAGGACCAAATCACATTAAATAAATCGTAAAATTATTTCAACAGTTTTAAAAGGTTTACGTAATTGGGTGCGTACGGAGAAATCGTTATTGTTTGAGAGAGTATTATGGGAATGCTATTTGTTTCAGCCCTTTATGTATATAATTATAATTCTTATTGTCTTTATGATAATGCGTACCCCTGTATTTTTTTCGAATTTTATGTCCTTACTGTATAAATAAAAAATAAGGTAAGTATGTGTATATCTGTGTTAAAAGCAATGGCATTTTTTCAAAAAAATAGCATTGAATTCAATACGTCTGATAAAATCTCTGAAATAAATTTTGGTATTCCAATAATTATGACCTGGTATGACCTCGTATCAAATAACATTCTTTCAAATATTTTGAAATGACTCGATAGTCACAAGCCATACCTGTTTTTTCCGATTTCAGGTGGTACCACATTTAAAAAAAGTAAAGGATATATTTACATATTGCGTATTATTTACAGTTTTTACGTGGTTAAATACTTTTTTCCAATGTAGTTTTCTCAATGGTACTTACGTGACAGGGATTTCCTCTTTAGGCTTGCACATAAGACTTTCATGCCAATCCCTTTCTTCATTAGATTTACACTTAGTTGTACATGAACAGTCTTAAACATAAAAGTACGTTTTTCTTCATATACATTGTAATTGATTTATAAATATGCATCAGTGAATGTTAAGTCCCACATGGGTTGCAATCCTCATTGTCACTCCGATTTAAAAAAAAGAGTTTATGTTAGAAATGAAGTTTAGCTGAATACAATTTGAAAGTCATTGCTTTATAAAGGATCTTTTGTCTCCTAATGTTGGTGCATATCTATAAAAAATATATCATGCAGTCTGTTTTATGATCGCAACATGTTAGTTTTCAAGTCGACTTTTCAAATTTGACAGAATCTTATTTTCATTGACGTAAGAATTGTAGATTGTACAAAATGAATCCCGATAAAACATATATTTATGTGGCAAAACATAGCCTCCTTTTACACATATTCATATTGATAATGCTATGAATGAATTTTTAATGAACACTTTACCTGGCATTAAGTCTTCAGTTATGTCACAACGTATTCCAAGGTCATCATCTGCAACCACGCACTCGTCTTCACTTGACCCGATCTGAAAATACGTTATGCACTTTTCATTGCAATAGCCTTCTTCGGCGTGACAGCGTGCCAAAGCTCGTTTTCCGTCTGTCCCTGCTGTCGCCCGAGCAATAATAGAGTCGTCCTTCTCACAAGGGCTAAAACAATTGACACTATTCATTTGGGCATATCCGGGCCGACATGGAATGCTATAGACAATAATATTTTCCATATCCTTTGGAGTAGTCACAGCTATGTTTCTTCCTCCTATAATATAAAAAGTGTGATTTAAATCTTGTATTACTTACATTGCAATATTAGTAACAATATTATGAAGTAAATTTTGAAAAGCTCTGTAAAAACAATTTGATGTTGTGAAATTTCTATGTATGACTATTAGGACTTTCTGGTCATTTCTGTGCAATTTGAAAACAAAGATCAATAAATAAGTACAGCAATCAATTCACGCATCCCCAACAAAACCCAGCAACAAAGGACCCCAGGCAAGGAGTCCAGCAAGGCACCAAACAAAAATCGGAGATGACAAAAGGGCGAAACACGGGCGGGGCGTACCTAATTCACTTTAAAACAATTTAATAAAGGTAATTACTTTAAAAGCATAAACCGAGATAAGGGTGTGCGCGAAGGGATGTCCAGAGAGCCCGGGAGTGCAGGGGCAAAATTTGAAAAAAAATAGGGAAAAAAACTTTCGCCGTTGACGACAAAATTTAAGAACGGACACTAGAAGTGTCAACACACTAGAATGTAGCAATAAACAAGACTTGCATACAGGAAGATAGAGTGTCGCTGACTGGGAACGGTCAGCAGCAAGGCACTATTAGGAAGTTTAAACCGGCTACCTGTGCACAAGACTTCACTCTTAGCTTCAGTATGTTCCTGCTAAACGTGACAGTGTGAATAATATGAATCCCCGCCGATTATAATTAAAAGCTGTAAGTTATAGTTACAACAGGCGAAATAACTAAAACATAGAAATGATCATGTTGACTTCTTTCAGTGGAACTTGTGCTTTTCAAACATTTTCGAGATAAAGATAAATCGGACAGAAATAGCAATACAAATAACTTAATATATAAAGAGGTAGATTATACTCACGTTTATGACATTTGTCAGCTTTTCCACATATGTGAACGTTGTTGTCGTTAGGTTTGTCCAAACAATAGTAATGTTTCCTCGGACATACGTCTATGTAACACCGTAAATGGTAATCGTTATGCAAATCCTCGTCGGTATGACATTTTGTTAAATTACTATATGAACAGTCTTCTGGTTGCACCATCCTTTCAAATGTATAGTTTGAAAATATTTCAACATCTGAGGGCAACTCAGAGCTACTGAACACTTGTTGAGTATTTAAATCTGGACTCACAGCTGTTGTCAAGCGGAGCTGTACAATAAATATTGCAATAACGATGAAATAATTCATGTTTCTAATACTTGGTATGGACTGATCTTCTAATAGCCCTTCTATCTGAAATATAAAAAAAAGACATAAGGTTCTTTTGTTATCTCAAATTTATTAATAAAATACGAAGACTTAAACGTTTAACTTGTTTCATAACTATGTATGTTCAATAATTCATGTTAGATGACACACTCGAAATCATTATAAGAATTAAAAGTATGTACTTTATATATTGGTTTCAATTCGAGAAGTATATTATTTATATGTATATGTAAGAAAAGGCTAGAAATTAATAATAATTGAAGACATTTTGTTCTAATTGTAAAATGTTAAAAACCAAGCAACTTATTTTGTTAAAGTCAAGAAATTTAATTACTGCTGTAAAATATTTTCTTTAAAAAAGATTGAATTGAATGGAACAGCATTTACCAATATTAATTATACAATGTACATTATTTTCGGAACAGAAGTACCAAAATGTTTCATGTGTCTCTTTTAATAATTTAGATTAATAACTGATAAGGTTTGGCATTTCCCAGACAGAGATTTCAAATTTGAAAATCTTTTTTTTTTATCACTACGGATAATTTGTAATCCATATTTTTCAAAGAAGAAAACAAATAAAAAAAGCCTAAAACGCGAAGCATCAGTAACAAAGATTCTCCGCCTTGATGGGAAGCCTACTTTAGATATTTTGAGTTATTTCTAAGTATATTTTGCGTTATTGCTAACTCGAAACAAACTTTTGTTTATAAATACCGGACCGTTATTAAATATGGCCAATTCTTTATCCGTAGGTGCGAATTTTTAAATTCTAAATAATTATCCGTTAATGCGTTCATAAGGTTTAATTGCTGCTTTTTTCTGCTATTTTTGGAGATGAATATATACCTGTGGTCACATCTATTTAAAACATTGTTTGCGTGGATATTTATTTCTTCATATTTTCAATACTTTTATTTATGTTCTGTCCATTTGCTTTTAACAAATAACAGTAGAAGCATTTGCCAAAATACGAAGAATATCATTTAGAACTCTCGTGCAATAACAATTACAGGATTGAATGAACATTACGTTGAATTTAATATGACCAATTCCTGTAATTTTCAAGTAACCTTTTATTACACCGTATTACCGGCGGCAGTGATGGCAGATCATTGCAGTGATGACAGATATCTGAAAATTACAGATCGATACAGGTAGGTTATAAATTTGGTTGATGAACGTCTATATTGATAACCGAAAATCCTGCCATTTACTTAAAACTTGAGATATTTTGAACAGAAAACAGACATTTTCACGGATTTTTCCGAGGCTGTCACTTTTCACCTGCTCAAAATAATCTTAAAACAGGAAAAAACGAGTCCAAAATTACCTTACAGTATCTCCATTCAATGGACAATAGTTTTATAGCAATGAAATGGGCCGTATTTGTGTAATATTATTAAACCAACCAAATTTATAACCTACTTGTATCGATCGGTAATTTTCAGATATCTGCCATCACTGCAGTGATCTGCCATCACTGCCGCCGGTAATACGGTGTGTTTATTATAATGTATATAAAGCCACTGTCCGAATTCATGCATTTGAAGTTACAATTGCATGGAGGTTTCATTTCATAGAAACACATTTTGAACTTTGACTTAGCGTTAAACGTAGGTGAATAAAAAATATAATCGGTAATTGTGCCATTTTATTTAAATTGCATTATAGGTTAATAGAAATTAAAATTTTTCCTTGCAGTGAAATTTTTTTCACGGGATGTAAGCTAAAATTTTAGCCTAAATCAACGCTAAGAATATCAGATGAGATTTCTACAGAAAAACTATCCTCTAATACCGGCCTAAGCAGATTTCAACATTTAAACATAAAAATAGGGAAACTTTGAATTTTGAAACATCCGCAGATGTACGAGGGTTTCTCAGTGGGTAATGCAATACTACGTACACAGTAGATAGTGTGTTTTACATAAAACTCTATACAGACACTGCAGAAAAAAATTAAAAATAATGTCTTATAATGCCTTAATAGGCCTTTTTTGTATTTATCCAATAAAAACCGCAATGTTTGTTACATTTTTGCAACATACACTTATTTTATATGAATCTCGCTCATTTATTTACTTTTAACATATTGAGTAATTTCCTGTAAATTAAAAGCCAAAGCACCTTTCTAAATAAAAATGAAAGGAAATGAGAAGATATCTATAAGTTTACTTACTTTATCTATGTGTGATCGTTTAAATAAGTCCTTCAATCAATATAAGTGTTAGTAACAAAATCTATATCAAATTTGTCAAAGTACCTAATCGATATTCTAACGTCCGTACTAAATTATGGATTGTGGGGCGAATAACTATTTCAAAATGATCAATGACTTGTTACATACTTTACTAATCATTAAATGATATAAACTATTTGAAATATATGCGTTTAACTGCCAAAATTGTAGTACAATATGTTGAAAGATATATCAGACCGTTACAGTCTAGCGCACAGGAATTTTCGGTAAATTTGGCACCGTAATAATATATCTTTTAATTGATAATTTCATTAGCGTTAGATTTGAGCATAAATATTTGAAAGACAAAGTATGACCCTATCTAAACCAACGCTACGTATTTTAATGTCATTTGTTTTTCATGTTTTCCCTTTAAATAAAATATAAATATAATTAATGTCGACAGTTGAGGTGTCTGAGCATTTATGAATTTAATCTGCAGTTTCAGTTTAGTAATGCATTCTTTTCTATGTATTGCAACAAAAAAGATTATTAAATGAAGATTCCATTATGAAATTTATGTACTGCAAACAAAGAAGAATAATGTCTCAACAATGTACAAACATTTTATTTAGGACACAGATATATTTAGATTTATTTATTATTCTGAAAGTTGAATATTATACATAATTGAAGTAATTATATTGACTGTACTATTTAAGTTTATATGAGACGGCACTGTTAAGTCACAAAACCTCGAATTGAGGAAAGGAAAACAAATGCTGGGTTACCACACTGCATAGATAACATGCGTAGTTTCTAGTATAAAGTATTCACGATATTATTTGCAAATGAATACTTAAATCTGAGAAAAATCTATTTTTAGTAAATTTCGCTGATGAAATACGACTGAGGTGCCAACGCCCACTTATGACGTGTTGTCGGCTCGCCGTGGATGCCGAAGACAGCCAATCATCAAGCATAGTGGGTTATTTTGCAGGCTCGCCACGGCGAGCCGGTATAACGTTAAGATTTTACTGAGAAACAACCTAAAACTCCGAATCCATCCAAAAATTTAATCGAAGCTTGGCTTCCAGCTTTCTACAAAATTTATCTGTCAGGGCTGGAATCCAAAATTATTTAGCCAATCAAATTTAATCTTCGTAGCGTCAAAAAACTTTAAATTTTTACGCCATTTTTAAAAAGCAGCAAGTATTGCTTTGAGCGCAAAGATATAATGATGATTAAAATGTTTGTTTTCATGAATTCTTTTCAATAAATCATATTTACACTGACTTTTGATTTAGCGATTTCACCTGTTTTCTCTGTTGTAAGTTTTCGTTTGGTTAATTAACATCAGTGTACATCTGGTTCTGTGCATTTTTTCTTTTTCTTTTTTTCCGGTCATTATATCCTTTCCGGTATTTAGTGTATGTATTTACTTGGTGGGTGGGGGGGGGGGCGTATATCATTTTTTATTGTATGTAATGAACGTTAAATTAAATTAACTTAGGATATAGATATATTTAGAGCTATTTATTAACAAACTTAAAATGCAAGAATCACAATACTTATAATTATATGCCTAATACATGTAATTGGTAAAATCAAAGACTATATTCTTGAATTGGTCAAAACCCGGGATCCTTATATGTTTTGATACGATCCCAGCTTTTCTGAAAACTATATTCTTGAACTGGCCAATTCCTGGGATCTCTATATATTTCAATACGTTCCCGGGTTTTCTGAAAACTATATTCTTGAACTGGTCCATTCCCGGGATCCCTATATGTTTTAATACGATCCCGGCTTATCTGAAAAACATCTTCTTAGACTGGTCAATTTTCAGGATCCCTATATTATTTAATACGATCCCGGCTTTTCTGGCTGAATTGATTGACAACTTGTGTTTACTTTAGGCCTTGTGTCTGTCACTCATTCCAATACTAAGTAACATATTACAACTTAACTTCGTATAAAAAGACATTTTTATGAATTCTACCTATCTAACAATTTTTTGGTCACGGTCAACAGGCTATATAGTAAATGTGCATAGACATAGGGACTTCATTCTATCTGTTTACATGCATCTTCATATATACTCATATTCCTCTTTGTTAAAGTGAGAGAACTGGCTTCCATAAATTTATTTGTCACTTTTATTTTGATGTTCGCTGAAGTCTCTTCAGCGATCAGAACTGTCATTTTTACATTTAAACACACCCCTGAAAAAAAATTACGAAGCGAGTCGGTACTAGCTTTTTTAAAAGCTTGTATGATATTAAATTGACATTGTGATCATTTTTGCATTGTCAAGTTAAGCTCATTTGTAATTGACGGAAAATTTTAAGGATAATATATAAATCTACGCAGAAAATAAAAATCTGCCCCACTCTTTTTTTTTTAATTGAACGTTATATGAAAGTAAATTTCGATGGATATTTACAAAAACTTTCCTGGAGAACGTTATAGTTATATTTCTCCTTAATTCAAAGTAAATTATTAGGTTACATGAAATTATGGCAAAATGTAAAATTATTTTGACTGTCAATTTTTACTCATTATATTCCCTTGAATGGACAAAATTTCACTTTAATTTTTGGTTTAAAAAGATCCAAACAATGTACGCTCGTACACAGGTGCTAGTGGCATTGATTTGACCTAATATGTGTTTGACCTTGTTATTTATACAATAAAATACAAGAAAAGCATTGATGCAAAGCATCAAAGGACGTCCAAGCAAGAAATACAGCAAGTGAAGATGAACTAGTAGACATATGATGACAAGGTATTCTTATAAACTACCAGAAATGTATATCACTTATGAATGAGCGGACGAAAGACATT